GTTCCTTCTGAAGTCCATGATCATCTCCTTTGTCTTCTTCACATTGATGTGACGGTTATTCTCTTTGCACCATCTTTCCAGGTGTTCCACCTCCTGCCTGTAGCTGGACTCATCATTGTTTGTGATGCATCCCACCACCGCTGTATCATCTGCAAACTTTACAATGTGACAGCCTGGATGGGTAGCTGCACAATCATACGTGAGCAGAGTGAATAGGAGGGGGTTCAACACACAGCCCTGAGGGGAGCCAGTGTTGTTGCAGATGTTGCTAGGTGTGGTTGTCGCTGAGACTGATCCCCAACCCATATTCTGAGCAGCAACAGATTACTCAAGATTTTTATTTAAAATTTTGCCAATAATTATTTGGAATCAACTCTGTCTGACTGTTAGCAAAATATCTCATGAACCACTGGCCAGACTTATTGAAACTTGCTGGAAATGATGATTGGATGCACATCTACAGCTGATTACCTTTGGAGTCAAACCATTTTAAGATGGCTGCTACAATTAACGTACATTAGCCGGAATAAAAATGTATCTAACTTAGTGAAACAAACAGATAAAGAGCTAAATCTGATGTGGTAGTAGCTGAGAGTCATTCACAACACATATACAGTTGTATGGGACATTTTGCAATATCTCATCAGACTGGGTAAAACAGTATCTTCATAAATTGATCAAAACAATCCCAATTACTACCAATTAAAAGCCCAGAATTTCTCAGCATAAGATGATAACTGATATGCATTCCTTTAAGGAATGTAGGGTGAACTTTGTGCAATTCTTAATAAAGTGTGTTCGTCATACCTGATATAATCCAAGAAGGTGGAAAGTGGAGGCAGGGCGTTGGAGCGCAAGCAGCTGAATTCAGTCACCATGCTCTCCCTTAGCATGGTGTCCACCAGAGACACGGTTAGATCATCTGCAGATGAGGACAGAAGTTTTCCATAGTTTGTGGTCTGAAGTTGCAGCTTCATGTCTGAGATGAGAATGTAGACCATGTTAGAGCAAAGGTTTTAAAGTTTGATTATAATCATGCATGAATCGAACGGTTTAGAAATGCACTTTGATTCAAACTCACTTTGATTCAAACATTTTCTATTGTGCGTTTATGGAGGTCATACTCAACAAATACAACAAAAATAAACTCTGTGGTCGTATAACAAAATAAATATTTTTATCAGCTACAGAGGTCTTCGTGGGTGGCATCATCTCCTAAAAAAT